TATGATACTACAGATATTGTCGTACCTATCTATGGTTCCAGCCCCTCGGTGTCTCGTTGGTTAGCTTGCTCGCTTTCCATGGCACACCACAGGGTTCCATGCCCCGTCAAGACAAACATTAACTGTGCGCTTTTGTTGCAGTATCTCTTGCAGTGTGACGATGAGAAAGCTCACTTCTCAGATTGAGATTACCAGAAATACAGCGAAGGGGTGGCTCTGTGGTAACCACACGTACCCCTTAAACCCATGGCCGCAAGGCCGGGACGCTGCGGGTAGGCTTTAGCTCGAAAAGAGCTACAAAGAAGTACATACATGCATCTATGGCGGCTGAACTATATGATATTGTAATTGATGGTGGCGGGTTGTCGTGAACTTTGCAATACTTCGTTCAAAGTGGTCTTATGTGAGAAAGAAGGGATACAGTATACGTCTGAAGGAATATTGGAAAGAGAGAAAAACATCAATGAATAAATAATTGCAACTGCCACGTGATCCCTAATTACCCTAAATCCAACGTTATTTTTAAAAAAGTTTCAATAATTCAGTACTTTCTTATGTTTGAGCCCATTTTGTTTAGAAGCGCCGTTGCAACGTTGCTCCAATGCAATCCACTGTTTTCCTAAGTTTCAATAGTTCAACATTTTCAATAGTTCAACAACAACAATAGTTCAACAACAGAACTTTGGAAAGATGCTAAATGATAAATTTTATTGAAATTTGAATTGAATTTGAAAAAAAAAAAGATACATTTTGGACAGATGCGACGCTGATTGCCTTTTCTCGAAGCCCACTGCGCCGGCGCGCGCCGGGGCGTAGAGGGGCGTGGCGGGGCGTGGCGTGGCGTGGTGGGGAGGGCGGCCGCAGTTTCAAGAGGGAGGCGCCCGCCCTGTCCGGCGCTGCGCCGCTGTTTGCTTGAGATAATGTGGCCGGGCGCCCCTCAGCTAATAGCTCGCCCCCGCGCCGCGCCTCTTCGTCGTCCCCGGGGGCTCCCGCGATTCCGCCGCCGCCGTCGCCACCGCCCGCCCGACGATTCGCGCCTTTTCACTCACTTCTCCTCTCGGATTGCGAGCGAGCGACACTCGACCGCCCTGCCCAAGGCGGAACGTCGTTCAGTTAATGAGCCAAGGACGGGGGAGATATATTCCGATGATCCTAGCGGATGGACGAGCGACATTATGCCGCGATTTCCGCCTGGATATCTCCGCAACAAACGGGCTGCACGACCTCGAATTCCGCCTTCGTCCGGAATGCTTCCTTTAGAATTTTTTTATTTAAGGTCGCATAAACTTCAATTTCATTAGCGACCACTATTGCGTGTAACGGTATGGTAACTATGAGGATCACACGATATGTTAATGATAGGGGGTGAAAGGATGAACACAAGACAACCATGCCCGAGGGACTTGAACCCGCGATCCTTCGGTCCGACTACTGACTTAGCGATCTCGGTCATCCGGTCCGGCTTTAGTGTTTTCTGGGGTTGTGTTTTCGTTAAAGCTCTGTTGCCCTCACATTCGTGGTTTTAATGCATTTTTTAAGGTGCACCTCTTTCAGAGTGGAAGGTGAATGATTATGGATGGAAAAGCCTCGAGAGAAACAAATCTCGTGAATATATGGTACTAATTGTCAGCACAACTACTGTTAATATAGCAAATTTTCCTTGCGTTTAATTCCAGTTTTCTATCAACCCGGTTCATCTGTTAAACCACAAAATATTCTTTATCAATTCCAATCCATTGAATGATGGATGTAGGAGTCCGTATGTGCTTCTATTGTCTCATATTTATTTGAACATTCTTGAGCGAAAAGCATTAGTTTCGTAACTGTTCGTAAAGGCCAAAAATCAATTTTATAAATCCCTGGGAATTTATACCAACTATGTTTAAAAACGTGCGTTGCAGCATCATAATGAAATTTGTGTGGATTTATAGGGGAGTCACCAGTACTCGTCTCGTCTGTAAAGCGTGTTGTGCCTGACGTTGCTGGCCGTCGTTTATTCAAGCGCGATATAGACGCGCTTCGCAGCCAATATTGCGCTGTCGGAGCCTGTGTTTCTCTCAGTATGAGAAAGAGACAGAAGCCGACTTTGAAGAACGAAATTCCTGTTCGATCGCCGGGATCTCATTGATCGTGTGTTAGTGTGCGAGGTGCTTCTGTTTAAAAAACCCGAATACAATTTTTTTGTGAAACATTAATCTTCTGGACATTATTCAGCTATTTAATTAAGACTGAAAATATAATCACTATATTTTGGAATATTGAATTTATTAATGAAATAAAGTAGCGAGATAAATCGTAGTCATTGTATTAAAAATATACTATTAAGATATAATATTTCTGGTAGTGTTCTTATTTTCAAAGTTTCTATTTGTATTGCCACTTAATAACAGCATATACTTCGTAGTATCGGTAACAGCTATGTAAAATTATAATCCCGCAATTTCTGTCTGTATTAACACATCTCAGTCATCACGTGTAAAACTGTTACCCAATCATAGCGCATTAGACGCGAAAATTTAATTCATTTAATGCTAAAATATTGACACAACTTCAACAATCGTTAACGCTGTTTCTTTCACCCAGAAATGTAGTCCATTAATGAGAAGTTATTCTGTGAACTTCAAATTGCTGTGGATCGACGTTCCCATTGTTGTATTGCAACCTACAACTCTTGAAACATTTTAGCAAAAACAGTGCGGGGCATTCAAATCTGCAATTTTGAGGATTCAAAACATTTTGCTGAACTACTAATATTTTAAAAAGGTAGTAAACTTTTTTAAAGAATTTATTTTTGAACGATGTATAAATATAGCGCCAGTTCCGTTTTCGGCAAACTCTCTGTATTTTCGAAAATTGCAAAAAGAAAAATCATTGTAAAAATACAATATTTATGAAAAATATTTATTCGATAATGTGCGTGCACCATTTATACAAGAATGTACGTAGCACCACTAGTTTCAGTAACATGTATTTTGTGAACCAATTTGATAGAGAATGTAATTTATTACATATAGCAAAAATATTTTTTCAACGTTTCGTTACCCAACAACAGTTTTTCTGACGTAAAAATCCCGTTTTCCCGAACAGAATTCTTCCCCCTCACTTCCTCTATCTCTACCTCTGTAAGAAAATGGTGTAATATCGGCTTTAAGTTAATTTAGAACTGTGGTTTGATTTGTTACATGTAAAGAAAATAGCTTATTATTTTTGTTCTACCTTTCTTGCAATATTTACTATAAAATTATTAGTATGGGCAATAACATAGCATTTCTTTTCCAAACGGTTTTATATTTTAGATACGTAAATATAAGAAAACGTATGTAAATATTTAACTACAAATTTGGCGTATGACAACTGCAAACTTGTTATCGTTTCCTTCCTAATCTTTACTCTGTACCAGTTCACTTATCCTGTGAATACATGTGCGGAACGAACGGCTTGCCATTGACGTCGTATCCATTTACAGATTCCTTGCTTTTGAGCTGGTGGTATATTTGCAGGAAATCCACCATGAGATTGGGGAGAGAATAGCTATCTAGCGAATGTGTTTTGGACGAGATGTGCCCATCACGTCAGATAATAGACTCGTGGTTACTAAGTTCCTCGACTATTTCGAAGTACACGACTGCGTCACACGGCCCACGACTGCAGGGCTTTGAAAATGATCCGGTTATTACTGGGAAAGTGTTGGAGATAGGTTTTTTATGCGTACTAAATTCTCCTGGTTTTCAAATAATGAGGGATGTTGAGCTTCTATTTAAAGAAGAGATGTCATTATATTGCTTTACGTCAATGTGAATATTTCGTTATCCTCGTACATATTTGTAATCGTGTTTTATCTAGTTTATTTGTTCCCACACAGGAGAGTTGGAGGTTTGGGATACACACATGAATATGTTTTTTCTCTTATCTGGGGCAGTGTTAGTTGATTGAAATCGGCAATGAATAGGCACCAAATTTCCATGATAAATTGGACATTGATAAACACAATGGTGCCAAAATATGGAATCGTTTTCCTATAATTACACTCTGATTATATTGGGCGTAAAATAGTCGATTTACGTAACGCTTACTAAATGTAAGAATTAGCGACGCGGACAAGCTTTGTGCATTTTCAACGCATTTCCAATGAATCATGAAATAAATAGAGGAATTTACGTTATGTTAATAAGTTTTGGGTAATCATTCGTGTACGACGTGGGTGAATGGGCAGCCGTGAGAACATTGCAAACCAACATCACATATAAAAGCTCTTTTCATACTTTAAAGCTCGGTGGGGGAGCTCATTTAATGAGAAATCGATACCTATGCTGCAAGGTAAGAGCACTCTGAAAGTTCTATTTTTATTGAATGTTTAGAGGAAAATAATTACAGAAACATAAATATCAAAATAATCAAATAAACAAAATCATCAGATTTTGTAAATGAAGGAAATATAAACTTTCGGTAATTACTTCCAATCGTACTTTTAATATGTTTGATTTCTTACTTGTAACAAATACAATAACCTGAGAGATTAAAACATTTATAGAAAGATGTATTAGCAGACGTCCTGATCAAGAGCAATATTTTACTAAGCGTATTAATGATCCACGGATGTTGATTATTTTGAGAATTTGTAAAAATTGTGCGCCCGGAAGAAGAGAAAATGTTTCTCTGTGCATGTTTCATAAAGCAGTATGAGAGTGGAATCAGATCATCCAATGTCACGTAAGGTACGGAATCCCGAAATACACACGCGGGAATGCTGGGGGACGCAAGGAACAAGTGACATGCTAGAGAGGGACAAGTAGGAGAGGTAGTGAGTAGAGGTAAAAACAAACGGAAAGACGAAAGATGACGCTAAAGAAATGAAGTCTGGGGCTGGAGCTGGAGAGTGTTCAAGGTATCTTGCAATCGATCAGCATTAATTTAAGAGATAAAGACCAGCAGCGTATAGTGGAAGAAATGGAAAGAAAAATATCAGAAGGAACGTTAGAGCACTTCAGGATGATCGAGAACTGCGCTGAAGGAAGTGAACCGGGCGGAAGGAAGAGAAGTGGAGACTTGACTGCAAGGGAGCCTGGCGTTGAAATGCCCCCGTGTCGGCAGTGGCAGGCGTCCCACTCACTTCTCAACGTCGTTGGGCGTGATGAGTGACTGGCCGAGACGCGCCATCCGTGCCAGCATCTCCAGCATGTACTCGGAATCCGGCTCGGGGTCCATGGCTGGCAGGTAACTCTGGCTGCAACACGCAACAGCGCCCGCTCCATTAGTCTAGTTCTGAGACATTCATCGGTGTAAATCATGTAAAACGTTGCTTCCGAAATTTCTATAGAAAAAACTTCTTAGATAATAATACATATTATTGGTTACATGTATAAAGTAAATAATGTAATAATGAGTTAATATTTTTCTGTAGCCGCCATGTATCCAACCTCTATATATAATGGTTTTGTATAAATCGAATTATTTTTCTGTCCCTTGTAAATTTAAAACGTTTTACCTTTAAAATCGTTTCTACAAAGACCTTTTTTGGATATCGAACTCATTTTCTGACTAAACTAGTTTTTCCATGAAATAACACGTACAATACATACTATAAATTGTGTTGAACAATTCGGCTAAGTTTCCCATTCAGAGAAAATGTTCCAGATGATGTTTTTCAGTGGATTAGTGAAGTGTGAACAGTGTTTTGAACTGAGTTCATCATATGTGAAATAAGACATTGGAAATAATAATAATAATAATATAAAATATATTTTTAAAAATTTCTATTCAATGAGTTAGTCGTGTGCATATGCAATATTTATTTCACATGAAATTAGTGTTGCACCATTTTACCAAAATATTACCCATTTCCCCCCAAATTGTTTAAAAGCATTTGCCAAAATTTTATAATTATTTCTATGTATCGACGTATTGAAGGAACCGTCATATTTATTATACGAAAGCCCGACTGCATTTATTCTTTAACAAGTGCTTTAAAATGTAAAAAAAAACTTCTATATATTCTCTCTAAAGTGTTTTCATATTCCCTCTGTGATCCTTATTTGCAATTGAATATTTCATTTTTTGCCTCTTCCCTTTCCTTTAGAATGGTGGTTGCACCACAACATAACGTTTCAGGCATTCTGGTAATGGGGGCACTTTGAATTGTTACCTCTACTTGACACAATTCGCATGACGTTCACGCATTTCACGCTCCTTGATGCAGTGACCTCCGCAATCACATTAATATTAACTGAGTCACATTATTATTAACTATGACACCGAGAAGAAATAGAAGGGGAAGCAGGAGGAGAGGGGGAATAAAAAGGAGGAAAATAAGTCAGATAAGAAAAGAATAAATAAAATACGAAAGAGTGAGAAAAATAAAGAAAAAGATGATGAAGGCGAAGAAAAAGAAGAGGGAAAAGGAGGAGAAGACGAAGAATAAAGAAGAGGAGAAGAAAGAAAATGAAGATAACAAGGATTAGAAAGGCAGGGAGAGAAGAAAGACACGGAGTGGAAAGAAAAGATGAGAAGAAATAAAAAGGATAGGAAATACAAAAAGGGAAGAAAGACAAGAAGTAGACAGTCGAGGAGGAAAAAGACTAGAAAGTGTAGAACGATTTGAAAAAAAAGGTGCAGTGATATCTTGTTCCAATGCGAAGATCCTGTACGACTGGAATTTGTGAATAATGCGATTGGATGCAAGACAATCGCTTGCATGAATACTTTGAAGAAGAAAGTATTTCAAATCATCTTACGACGTGAATGATGTCTAGGTGGAGACACTCACTCACCTTTGGAGCCGTATACATCAACAGTTCCGTTGGGAAAGTCTCAGAAGCCATATTTCACTTTGCGTCAACTTTGAGTTCTAACAGTCCGTGACGCTGCAAGCAGAGAGCTCTTCTGTGACGGATCCGCTGCTTTCCCTAACGTGGCAGGCCCACGGATCTTTTGTTCGACCTTTCTGAGCGTTCATGCTGGCTTATAGCGATGGTGGCTTGTGAGCCATGAGTAGGCCAGCGAAAATTTTCTTTTAAAATAGCACTATGTGTCTCGGTGTGTAACGCCATATACAAGGCCATAACAATATGTGTTAATTCCAAGTAAATTAATACAGAATTTAGGAATGGAATTTAGGCTGTCGTGTATTATTTTATTCTGTTTTTGTTTGCTTGCATGCTTTCTACACTGTGCGTCTTACAAGTGACTAGTTTACGAATACATCCCTCTGAAAGTCATCGTAAGTATTACAAATATCATGAAGATGTGACTATTACGTAGTTCACGTTTTTTATCAAAAACCCACTATTACTAAACAGGCTGGAAATTGAAACGTATGTCAAAAACCTAAAATTATATATATATATATATATATATATATATATATATAAATAATGTTGTTAACTTTGTAATTCATATAATTAATAAAATATAAATTCAATGAAACGTCTACCGAATTGTTATTTTAAATATTTATTTTGTTATTATTAAAGTTCATAGAGTACTTTTTACAATAACATCTGTTTTATGCTATTGTACAATTTTTCGAGTTCCGACAGCAATGTTTTTTCCTAAACAATTGAGCGCGAAAAGCGACTTATCGGATTTGACCGTGTTTATTTCCCTCCGGCGCGTCCTCGGTTATGGATTCTCATGCGGAGAGCGAAGCTCCCGAAACAAATTGACACTCGCAGCGCGAGTGAACGCGCCAAAAATGAAAACACACTACACAACCGTCGAGCGGCGCTTGTTTGCCGAACACCGCGGCTCTGAAATGTAATTAATCATCGTGTTATTTCGAGGCACCTCGCTATGTAAATTGTCGACTCTGCCTTCCCCGCCCCGTCCGCGCCCGATGTGGTTACTCACACACACACACACACACACACACAAATACCTCCGCACGCGCGTTTGCGCTCACGGACGTAAAGGTCTGTGGATGCGCACGTTGATGGCCTTTTGTTTTGACTCTTCGTTGCAGACAGCGCATTCAACGTGTTACCTGCGGGGCCCGCGCCGTGTCACACTCGCGACCCGACGTTGCTCCGTGCGCCCGCATCAGCTTTCTGCGACGTATTGCGTTTTTGTGACAGACTATTATTCGCCCGGGCAGGACTTGAAGGCAAATGTAGGGATCTCTGAAATTCGGAACCGTCACTCAACTGACCTGCGTGCGTTGGACTGACGTCGTCAAAGAGAAATTTATCAACAGTGATTGACGATAAACGTATTGAATAGATTCAGAATTGGTTCAGGCTGAACGAAAACTAGTGTTAAAACAAGTGTGAAAAGTCATGAATGTCCGTTGAACCACGAAGCGAAGTAGGGGGCTACTGGTTTCCCCTTTCTTTCCGTGGAGGATTTCCGTATCAGGGATTACTTGGAGCGATGTTATTCCAAAGAGTGAAGGTAACATGGGATAATGTAATATTTGTCTCAAAAATATTTCATAGGATTTAATTATAAAATAAGTTGAATAATGTTTTAATATACTTCTTTGAAAATTATGAACGCATGCAATATTGAATCTGTTCTTGTCGAAGGAAACCTACACTGGCTCTGAACTTTCGCCGTTATTTCCTAGAAAATATTATGTGTAACAAAATGTATCAGCCATTTCCTGATTTGTGGTGTTGATAAACGCGTAAACGCGTAAGCGTTAGAAACGCGTGTCGCTTACGAGTACCAGCACTTCCGCCCCGACGCAAATGTGTATGCTTTCTCGTAAACTCTTACGTACCGTGCGAGAGATGAATGCCAGCATTGTGATTTTTAATGTCACAGGCGCTCTCTTTTCTATGTGAATTCACTGCATATACTTATTATTTTAACTATCCTCACAGAAAAATGTCTCTTTATGCAAAAGAAACCGATCTGAGCGACCATTATCCGGATTGACGATTCTTTAATTCCAGTGACGCACTTGATTTTCCGGTTAGTAAGACAGAGATAGAGGGCACGCCTTTCGGAGGTGCCTGCAGGATGTTACAGAAACATTTTCAGCACCTTCTGCATTGTACGTAAAAAGCGACAAGAAATTTACGTTGGAGCCCACGGGGACGCCGCAAATGCTCGGCAGCCGAAAGAGATTTTTGCGGTAGCCCGCGACTTATAAAATGTTCCCACGATAACACTGTCAGCTTTTGCTGTTAGAGTAAATACTTGCGATTGCCACGTGAAATACATGTGCGAGTATTGCCCACTTTACTGTGGAAGTGGACAATAAATAGTACCCTCTCTGAAGTATGAATTTTTTTCTCTGTTTGTAGCGTTTGTTCACAGACCAACTTTCGAAAAATTCAAATCATCGCCCGAATAATTTTTAAAAGTGGTCATTTAAAAAAAATACTACATCTGAGCCTCTTTTTGCAATTTGCTTTAACAACAGTTTTCCCTACTCTTAAGTCTTTTGATATATAATCAGCGGGATGAAGATACTTTTGTGATTTTCAAAAATATACATTTCTTTTATCAAATTGACATTCTCTACAATAGCACTATTGGCACACATTATTAGTTTTTGAAACAAAATAATTATCTTTCCAATGTTTGAATTTTAGACGATCAATAAAAAAATCGTATCATTTAAATACTTTATGCGCATTGTTTAGAATCATAAATAAGACTGGCCAGTATTTGTGTTTATTTTATATGCCAAAACAAAACATTATATTTAATTTAGCAATTACTTCTCGTTTATTATACTATTTCTTCTTGGAGTTGCTCGTAGAGTCTGCAGATAAATTCTTACATGAGATGTGAACTTCTGAGGTGTTTGAATTCATTTTGCAAAGTATTTCTCGTTCGAGTAAGGGAGGAATAAAAATATTTTTCTTTCATTAACTTTAAATGGATATTTCTTACGGTGCACATTAAGGAATTTTTACTTTTTTTGTTATGTTTCTCTGAGAGAAAATTGAAAATGATGTCATTATTTTCAATATTCGGATAGATGTAGCGCAAAGAAGAAGGAGAGCCAAAAAACCTGCATTTCAGTTTTATTTCTCATTAAAAAAATTTCTTCAAAATGGACAGAACACGTGTGACAAATATTGTCAAAGTGATGCGGTATTAAAAAGGAGATTAAAGATTTTTTTGATTTTGCCATTTATAATTTTGACAATGCATAGAACAATTTCATTCTTGCACACAGCTATGAACTCTGTTCTTCATGAAAAGAGAAAATAAAAATTATAATTAATTAAAGAGACACTGTCTCGTGTTATTTTTTGGATTTATATTTCGTCTGTGATAGAATAACACAGAGAACGCAGTCAAAGAACCGAGTTCATGGTAATTATTCCAACTTTTTTGTGCTGTTTTCTATAGAACGCCTCTGAAACATGAGGCCGAAATTTACAAAGACCAGTTTTAAATAAGGCCTTAGTTAAGTTTCTAAATCTATGTATTATTTATTCATTACCTTCATGCAGCAAGGCCACCATAATCACGCCATACAGATTTTCAATAAGACGAACAATGGGCGAATACTATAAGACAAACTGGGCGTGAATACTAAAATAGATAGCTGATTGCTAAAATTTAATATTTTTTCTAATTTTCACAATTGAGAAATGTAAACTTGGAAGTGGGCCATGTTGAGAAAAGTTAAATAGTGTGCCGGCCTAAGCACATGGTTTTTAGGAGCTGTTCCAGCAGCCGGCTGAAATTGGTTTGGGGAAGACCATGTAAACGACTTATTATAACAGCTGACCTTTTCAATACTCATTCAAATACTAGTCGGCAATTTAGATGAAATCCTTGGACTCCTGGCCTAGGAAAATTCAGTTGCCAAACTTCATACGCAGAACTTCTATTAAATCGATGAATTAATTGACAAAAACTCTTCTGGCAAAGATTTTCCCTTTACGTTAAGTTGTGTAATTGAAGGGGGTCGGGAGAACATAGTGCTAACCCACATGTGTATAATTTTTGTCAGGCAGAGGAGAAACAATGTTTTAGTACAACTGTCTTAGAGTCTATATACACTTTTGGCTGCTTTCTTCACACATACTATAGTTCTGTGAACATGTTTGTTTATGATTTCGAACATAATTTTACTTTTAGAAGGCAGTCTAAAATCTTTGTTTTGGATTTATGAAATGAAGGGTAGCACTATCTTTCCCCGACTCCTTGAATGCATAATTTATTTTGATTCAACGTTCTTATAAATTTTTATTTTTTGCATATTGATTTTGAGTAGATAAAATTGAGAATAGAGGTAAGGGAATCCTATGAATCAAAACTGCCTCCGAGAGACTGTTTATCATTTGCAACTGAAGTCAGCCCAAGTGCGTAGCCAAGTTAGCAGCTGTTAAGAGTTAGTAACAGAGTTAGCGGGAGTGGCGGCGCCCTGTTGGGCGCGTGTTCGGCGCGCGGCCGGGTACAACTACCTGGAGAGCGGAGAGGCGTGGGTGGAGCGAGACACCGCCAGCAACAGCGCGACGCCAAGCAAGAGCGCGCAGGACACCATCGCACTGCAAGACGGCATGGCTGATGACCTGCAACACAGCGGCCCACGTTATAGAGAGGTGCCTATAGAGAGTACAGAAACAATTGCAAGTGAATAAGAAGACTGGTGGGACCTCAGGCGTTTACGTACATACACACTCACACACACGTATATATATATATATATATATATATATATATATATATATATATATATATATATATATATATATATATATATATATATATATATATATATATATAATTTAGGGTCGGATTAATTCGACGTTTGCTTAGCTAGTTAGCTAGAGGTGTTGCAAGGTGTGGGCCCGGGGGTAACGGAGATATGTGGTGAGCATAATGCATTCCCATCTCCCACCACCGTGTCTAGGTTTTTGCGCCTGTCTGCCTGTCTTCGTTTTCGTCACAGACGCGACGTTTTCGTCACAGACGTCACAGACGCGCATAGAAACTGCGACGATTTGTTTTAGAAAGCTATAGCTTCATAAAGTTTACTTACGTTAAATGTGTACTTGAAGAATTATAGAATACCACAATTGAATTAAGACAACAATGCATTTTTAAGCAATTCATTAAGCATACAATGACTCAAAAATGCATTTTTCAAATATTCAGCTAAAATGTTCCTGTCACTGGACATGGCAAAATCAGTTTATAACGGGCGGATGCTCCTGGAATTTACGACTTCTCTCGGTCCTTAGTGAAATGCAATCACCTTCTACGAGAATTTAACTGAATGTTTGCTTCATAAAAATAACATGGCAGTAGTGTTTCGTTCGATAAATCTGAAGTTTACTGCTGGAAAATTAACTTTTCTAGACATTAATGTTCTCTTTAACAGGAAACAGTTACTTTTTTGCCTTTCATGGGATAAAATAAAATTATGACACATTGGACAAATATATTTTTTTGTTTATTTAATGTTTTTAAAGATGCCTTGATATCGAAATTTTTTGAGATTTCATAAGGATTAAGTATTTTCTTACGAATATTTAAACAATTTATTTCTACAAGATCTTTTCAGAGTAAACAATTTTGGTGAAATTGTCAGTCGAATTCATTATCTTAAAATGTCTTACATCAATGTCTTACATATTTCGTCTTACATCTTGTTTACATTTGCATACATTAGAATGAATAGAACAGAGGAGTAACAGAATTTGAAAGATCGTTAAGAAAATGTCTTATTTTAGAAACAGCGGTGGTTCGCGCACCAGTGCTACTTCGTTTCGAGAAACATTCCTGATGCTATTTATGTCCAAATTGCACATGTACGACGTGAACAGCTGTGACACTAGAATGAAATGGTATCAATTTCGCGGTGGAGAATGTTACCGCGCTTCCAAGTACAGTATTCCATGTGCTGCTCTCGGGCTCAATTCCTTCTCAAGCACTTTATGGTAATCGTCGTAAACGGAAATGTAGACGCAGGCGTTCTTCATTTTATCGTCTTCGCAGGAACACAGTAAGGGTACTTTCCCGATTGTGGGGAAGGTAGTTTACTTTGGACTAAGGATTGCTGTGAAAATCACTGCGATTGGATTACGGACCTCAGGCAGACATCTATTTTATGCAACTCGTGTTTATTTTCATTCTAATTCTCATACTTCTTATTTATTTATTACAACATCTAAAAATCCTATACTTCAAATTGTGGAGAATTGGAATATTGGAATGTTCGTCTATTCTTCTTTTTAGAACTTTTTGTGAATAAAAAGGATTAATTAAGTCACTATTTCTTCCTCAAGTATGTCTTCTGTCTCTTCTTGCCTCTATCTGTAATGCCGCTTCAAACCTTAGGTCGGACTCAACTGCGAGCTCGGTATACGGCCAGATTCATCCTACATGAAGACTGGGCAAAATACTGGTGAGGAATTGACCATCGCTCTCCTGCTCCAAGGATGAGATGGGGAAACTATGTGGGATGTTCGCCCGACATCTTCGGGACTTAAACTTAAAGCCTTCCAGTCAACAAAGTTGCATTTCGTAACACGCTAGTCACTGGTGCATCCGATTCCACAATATGGTACGATAAATTATTGCTTGATTATTTCGTGTTTCTGGACGCGACAATTGCTATGGTCATTAGTCCCGTAAGTTCGGTGCATGTTATAATCCTGGAGGAGCAGTCTTTCTTCCAGCTACAATGTGAGATTCCGTGCTGACCTACACGTCGAGTTGTGGTGATTCCTCCTCCAGGTATCTCCACAAGCGGTCACCGCCCTAAGGCGGAACGAAGCTCCAAGCTACCGACTGGTCTTCCGATATGAATCGTGGATAGATTTTATCGGATATGAGGGGAGAGGAGGGGACAAGGACGAGAAAAGCACTGTGAGGAAATTATATTTTTCGCTCATAAATACATGTTCCGAAACCACATAAATCGTGCATCCTCTGGCATTTGGGTTCTCACGGAGGGAAAACGCTATTAATCGCGAAAGCGGGAGGGATGTCGCGGAGTCGCTTGAAAGGCAGTTCCGTCAAGTGCGCTTGTCTTTCGCGTGCTCGTCGCTGCAAGTTGCGGTGGGTTGCTCGTCGAGGGAGCGTTATGCGGGCGATGTTCGTGCGAAGTGGTTCGTCGCGGAGCCGGCGCCTCGCCGCTTCCCAACTCGCAATCCGCACTGCGCCCGCCCGCCAGCCTGCATGCTAATATTTGCACCAGAGGGAGCGAGTCGGGTCGCGGCTACTGCACTCACGGCGACCAAATCCCAGACCGCCAGTGTCGGCTACAGTTTTTTAATATTCTCGCCCTGAAGGCAGTTGAATACCGTATGGCGACCTTCATTTCTCAAAGCCATGTCTTTGTATTTATTATTATTATTATTATTATTATTATTATTATTATTATTATTATTATTAGCGTATTTTCCCAATAATGGAAAACGTTAAGCAAAAATTGACTCGTTTTTGTTCTACTTAGTTTTTGTGGAGTTCTTAATTTTCCAATGTTCTTTCATTCTGTTGGAGAATGCCAGTTTTCTTTCTTCAGACCATTTCGGTCTGTAGGGTTTTGATTTTGGATGTTCTGGTTTGACTTCCCATTTGTTCACTTTGTTGCGGAAGGTGTTTTTGTCTGAGGTGTCAGTTATGTCGGCGTGTCGCATGTCTTTTTTTGTTTCTTTCATCCATGGTGTTGTATTTTTAAATGAGGACTTAAAGTTTAGTATTCTTTTAGTTAGTCGAGTATTTGGTAGCCTGTCTATGTGTCCGAAGAATTTCAGTCGTCTTTTCCTGATGTCGACTTCTACGTTCGAGTACTTTTCAGTTGTCTCAATAGATTGTAATCTGTATCCATCGGCAGTTAGTCTCACACCGAGTATCTTTCTAATGCTTTTTCTTTCTTCTTTTTTGATTTCTTCCAGTTCATACTTCTTGCTGAGCGTGAGTGTTTCGAGCTGCCGGTTTGATGACAGTATTGTAATGTCGAATTTTGGTTTTCTTAGACATGCATTTTTTGTTGTACAGGTTTTGGATTAGTCCGAATGCTTTCTTGCTTTTCTGGAGGCGGGTTTGTTGTAAAATTCTTTCGGATCCGGTTGGTTCGATGAACTCACCCAGGTATTTGAAATGTGGTACCCTTTTGACCGTTCCCTACCTTGTGTGCATGTTGTGACCTTTGTGGGATAGGACTTGAGTTTTCTCGAAAGAGATCTGTAATTCTACCCTTTCTGCACATTCTTTGAGTGTTTCTAATTGTTTGATAGCGGTCTCTTGGTTTTCAGACAGTATCGCTATATCGTCGGCATTATTATTATTATTATTATTATTATTATTATTATTATTAATAATATTATTATTATTAATATTATTATTTCGACTCTAGGTAGGTCGGATTTATCTACTGTCCGAACGAGAATTCTTGCTGCCAGCTGCTCTGATCAGTAGTTTTCCGTGATTTCTCCGATGAATAACCGGCGAATGCCGGAGCAATACTTTAACAAACGGGCCACGGACAGCGTACGATCCTTCCTTCCTCTTCCTTAGCCTATCTTCACCCCTTACACGCACTACATTAGCACCCATGAAGGAAGACAGTAAGAGATTCAAGACCCTTAGGCGAAAGGTAAACAGGAAAAAAATGGATTGAAAGCTGAGAATCGAATAATAATAATAATAATAATAATAATAATAAGAAGAAGAAGAAGAAGAAGAAGAAGAAGAAGAAGAAGAAGAAGAAGAAGAAGAAAGGGAGACCAGTCGGGGGCTTAGAGCTTGCCCGGGCTGGGGGGTGCCCTGTTGGTGGGATATGCCTGGTTGGGGAAAGCCCTGCAAGACGACGTAGGTCGGCGATGGATCTCGCTATCCAGCGGGGGAAGAACGTTGCCACCTTCAGCGAAACAGCATGCACTGTAATTATCCTTTTAGTGTTTTTAGTGTTTCTGCACTAATGTTAAAGCACTTATCAATCAATCCAGTGTCGCTGGATGATGAGATCCGACGCCCACCTCCATACATCCGGAGTGAATTTCACCTCCAACAGAGCACCGCCCCAACCGGGATAAGCTTTATGTTTTACACTGGTCTCCAAACTTGTGCAGTTCTGTAGTGTATGCAAATGTCGGTGTGTAAGAGGAAGAATAGAATAAGGAAAATCAAGGAAATCACATTCGATCTGTGGCCCGTTTGTTCGAGTACTGCTTAAGCATTTTCCCGATAGTGATAGGAGAAATTATCTACAAATAGCGATCAGAGCAACTGGTCACTAGAATTATTCTTCAGATAGCGGCTGAATTCGACCTTCTTCACAGGAAGTCATTCAGGAGAATATTCGCCACAATCGTGAACCAAACCGTAGATCATCTCAGACAGAGTTGCTGCATAAACTGCGGCAATGCTGACTCTGAGGTAACTCAGCCAGTTTACTATTTGTTTTAATTATTATTTAAAAAAGATAAAAATTTATTTGAACTGCAAATGGGCATAACCCGGTGGCAGCTAAGTACATAAATAAAATACTACAGCTAACATGCAAATTATACAATAATAATAATAATATAATATAATAAAAATAATAATGATATAAAACCGTCTAATTCATACAAAT